ACAGGACCAGCTGGGCCTTGAGCTCTTTCCTTGCAGTCTGTCAGGGAATGGATCCCTTGCTCAGTGCACCTTCAGCAACAAACCAAACCACACACACAGCAACGCAGGATGAGGTGGAACACTGGCAACAAAGCACATGGAAGCTGACAAGGTTATATGACAAGAATGACACTGTATTATGAATGTAGGTGGGTAAAGAATAAAGCACCATTGCCTCACACTTTAATGTGAGTATTCAAAAAATCCTCCTCCAGAATGCTTTCAGAGCAGCAGCTAAACTAGACTTTTGTTCCAGTGGCTCCAACAAAGTTTCTCTTTCTTCCTTTCTTAAATAAAATGCTGCTGAACTAGAGGAAGACTAGTATGGGGAAACCAAAGTCAGCCTCTGTGATTACACACCTTGGGCTTACTCTGGCATTTTCACATCTCAGTGCACAATTGCTTTATTGTCTTGCTCTCTCTACAGATTGTACTGGAAACATTGATCCACCACAGCATTAGTAACTACAGGGGAAATCAGGTACAAGCATATCTACCCACCCTCCCCCAAAATCTTTCAAAAATAAATAATGCATCATAACCAGATCAACAAGATTGACATGTTTTTATTTGTACTTAGCACATACAGGAAAGATCAAAACAAATAATAAAAGATAGCATTTGTAAACAAATGTATTTCACAAAAAGTTATAAACTACCAAATTTCCTCTGAAAAAAATTTGTTATAGCCATTTATAAATGTGTATTTATCAAAATCAAGTTTAAAACTACTTCATTTTGAAAACATCCCAAATGAAGATTCATTCATTCCAACAACTTCAGAGAGACCACAGATGTAAGGCCTAGCTAAAACAAATGCATGAGTGAAGATGGCACTGTGATTTTTGGTTTAAAGATAACAAAAAAGTCTGCAAGTGATCAAAATACCAGCCAGTTCAATTCAAAGTCCTAGGTCTGCAAAATATACATTCAACTTCACAAATGTCTAACTTTAGAAAAATAGATCTATTCCACTGGAATGTCCTCATTTTTTAATGCACTGATTATATGTTATGTTTTTGAGCCCACTCAGAGAAAAGTTATCAGCAGGTAGTTTCATGTAATTAAAAGTTCACTTCCATAATCACATTAAAAATAAGATGACAGCAGCACCCTTTTAGCAAGGACTCATTTTTAACATTCTTGCCTTTATAGCAGCAGGTATGGTTTTGGGGAATGCTATCAATATAAGAAGTAAAAAAACCCAAAAAACCAATATAGTCTGTGAAATTTATTACAGTGTTCTTTTCCTATACTTGTTTTCAAAGTTAGGTAAGCACCTCTATTTTCTTCTGCAGAACACAAAAACTAGAAACAAGTAACATCCAAACCTATGACTGCCTCAGTAGGCTCCCTTTGTTGATGGCCCACAAGCCAATTTGATTGCCAAAATGAATTATTTCCTTCCTCCAATCTCCTATTTGCATGCCGCTAAAAAAATCTCAGTCTATTAATTTGACTCAAAAGACACAAGGTAATAAAAGTAACTAAGGCACAAATGTCTGATCTTCAACACCAGGCAGAGGGTCACAGATTTGAAACTAGGGTAGAATGAAAACCCCCAGAAATATTTCTGGTCTCAGGGCACTGAAAATTCTTACCAGAATTCAAAAGAAGTTTTTCAAGATTTTTTTTTTTTTTTAACAAAGATATGGAAAACACTTTTCCCAAGAATGTCCACAAACACTTAACAAGGATGGATGTACATACAAAGACACACACTTTATGCACAATACACTTTGAACATACTGCAGACAGACAAGGACCATGGAATGCAATGATGTCTAAGGTGGCAGGTGAAATGAAGATGGCTCTTTTTCAGAGAGTCGTCATGAGTTTATCTTGGTACACCATGCTTTGGACTCCTCCTAAATTCTTCTGGTTCTGTTCCTGGATATACCGTAAATTGCTGTCCTCTCCACTTGTGGGGGGTTTCCAATAGGGCCTGTCATCATGATAGGGTGGCCTGTACCATTTGCACAGTTATTGGTTAGTGAGGAATGGAAGTCAACTTAGGAGTGCTACACAGAAACATGAGCTCATCCTGCAAGTGCTAGGCATGCACACGGAGCTACAGCATGGCAAGGAAATGGGGACAGACCTATAGGTCTGATGCTGAAGCTGCTGAAGCAACTGGGAATCTTCTAGCTGATTTCAAAAGGCTTTCAACCAGAGCTCAATCATTAAAAACCCTCTCTGTTTGCAATGTTACAGACAAGCATAGTGCATCAATGCTCTGGAATTCCAAAGGGGGGGTGGGGAAGGAGAGGAGGCTACAGGAAAACTAAATTTGTACAACGAACAAGTAAAATAAAACATATCATGCAAAACGCTGAGCTCATGACAGTACATCCTTAAAGTGCAAAGGGTTAAGAAAGGCAATCCTATTATGAATAAAAATAGCTCTGTAGTTGTTGCCATTCCTTTGGCACTGGTGCAGTTAATAACTAAAGCAGCCTGTAATTTACAGAGTTGCATTTTCTTAAGAACACCCCCAGTCTACAGTTAGTACGGGTAATTCTCTGAGACTTGCAAAAGTACTACAAGGAAAATATCTTTTTCCTTATTTATTCATTACTTATTGCTGCTTAGAGATACTAACTTCAACCATTCCTACAGTGTCCCCTGAATCATTGCAGCGGAGTGGGGAATAAATAAAACAACAATTTTGAACACTATGTAGGAAACCACAACATTTAACATTACCTTATTACCAAATTGAAGCTGCAATTATTATATATACGGAAGAAATTCTTTTCTGTGAGGGTGGTGAGGCACTGAAACAGGTTGCACAGAGAAGCTGTGGATGCTCCATTCCTGGAAGTGTTCAAAGCCAGGTTGGATGGGGCTTTGGGCCACCTGGTCTAGTGGAAGGTGTCCCTGGCCATGGCAGGGGGTTGGAACCAGATGATCTTTAAGGTCTCTTCCAACCCAAGACATTCTATGATTCTGGTAAGATTTTTTTATAGTAGCAGAAACACAGGCAAGGTTTAGATTTTACCTTTTTTTTTTTTTTTTTTTTTTTTTTTAGGTATTTTCTAAAGTTATATAATGACAGCTGTTAATTGGATTTTTTTTTTCAGAAGGTTAAATATTAAGCTAGCTGCAAACAATTTCACTGAAAGAATCTGCAAACAATTTCAGTGAAAGAATTTTACTAAGAAAACTGAGACACAATTCCACATACTATTTCAAAAATTATTCAACAAAAGCTTCATATATAACATGTATTACACAGTTAATTTCATTTCAGCACATGCCTATTCCAGACTCTCATGCACAGCAGAAAGAATTTATGCGTCTGTAGTTGTGATCTCAAGACTGCATTCAAATGGAATAAGCTTTTTCAAATCAAGCTGGTCAAGATTTTAAATTATCCAATTATTTCACTTCGACTCCAAGTTAGAATAACTCGAAACTTCCACTTTAACCACACATTTAAATGCTTCTACCTGAATGGGACCAAAATTCTGAGCACCTTTTCTACCAAGCTTCTATGACTGAGCTTTTAAGTATGGGTTGTTTTTTTTCCAGGCTTACAAGCCTTGCTATAAAAAAGCCATTGTTCATATTTCACTGACCTTAGTCTTTGCCCAGGCAGTGGAGGGGCTGACGGGGGAGGTTGTCTACACACTCTACAATACATTATTGTGCTTATTTCAATATCACTCTGCTCCAGGGTGAACTATTTGGCTTTAAAATGTCACGGACTGGTATCGTAAGCGATAAAATCTTTAGAAAAATTTCAGCAAAACCTCAAATGATTTATAAAATCATTAGGCTCTCTTGGCAGCCACTCTTTCATAATGTGAAATTGCACATTTTAAAGAGCTCATAATAAACTGGATAAAGAAACCTTAAAACCAGGAAGACTCCTGAGCTTAAAATACAGGCAAAGTTCATTACACAACTTCAAGTCTCCTGTTTCTAACACAAATTTAATATCTGTTTTACTGCTGTGCACTAGGAATTTTGAGATGACAATGCCTGTCTGCTTCTCTGCCTATTATTTCTAATCATGTACTTGCCCTTTTCCTGGATTCTCAGACTCAAACTCACACCAAATTGTCTTTTCATCCATTTTAAACTTGGCCTCATCCCCAGAGCCTGCCCACACTAAAACCAAAGTCTACCTATTGTGATGTAAGAATATAAATGTTAGATAAGGAGAAACAAAAATTAGGGTATTGGTATTTTTCACTGAAGACAGTAATTATTTGTCTAAAAACCTGAGTCATCTAAAAAGGTTACTTTTCATTAGGATAAAGAAGTGGCTGGTTTTTATCATGTGTACCCGTATAGATACATATCCACCAGCAGGAGCATGCCTTCACCGTGCATTCCACCAAGTGGGTTTTAATTGGACTGAATTTCTTCCAAAATTTCTTTTCACTCAAAGTTTCTCATCACTAGCTACAGAGAAAAAAGTATGCGAGAAGATAGGACAACAGCACATGCAGGAATGCTTTTGTGAAATGGTTCTCAAAAACTCAGTGCTATAATTTTACTCATTATCTCTAATGTTCTTGATAAATTGCTCCATGTACTTGCCATTTTTTCATATACATTTTTGCAAAAGATGAAAACAGTGCTCCACTGCAAGAATATAATTATTATTAACTTTAGACTAAAATGAGTTTCTCCTCTGTCTTAGGAAATTAAATACAAACAAATACCGATTGATTTGCAATTAAGCTACAGAGAAGCTCCCTATCCAACATATTCCCTACAGGAGATCACTAACATTCTCTTTTGAATTTTGAATTAGAAATAAACTAGAAAAAGAAATTCATATTCCAAAGCAAAGCTTTGAAGTTATTTAATACTGTCTCTATATCCCACACTTCTAACTTTTGCTTTTCATGTGCAGAGGACTGCCCAACAGGGCCACCAAAGCTTCATATCAAGTAACATAAAGAAAGAAGTAATCATCTTTTCTTCACAAAGGGAAGATTGCTTACCTTACATTCACAGGTGTGTGTGGATGCCAGTGTGGCTGAGCAGGATGTATATTAGGATGATACGGGGGCTGCAAATGGAAACATTGAACCTGGTTAATGAAATTGTATTAAAGCTCCCTATTAACTTTTAACTTTTATTTTCGTGGTGAACCCTATAATCCCTAGTGCTTCTGACCTTCTCCCATGTCATTGAGCACATAGTGAAGCCTCTTGGTGCCGAGCCTGCTCATTAGGACACTCTCATGGGACAATGCAAAGAAAATTGCTCTCCTGTTTGACAGGCAACCTGGCACATCCAGTGCTTCTCATAGAAAGCCCATCAAAAAATGTCAACTTTGATCAAAGGTGGAGAGTAATAAAGGTTATAAGAGCAGGCTTCAGGAGGTCTCCTGTCTTTGCTGACAGGACTTCCTTCTTATATCCACAAGATCTTGAAGAGAAACAGTAAAACAAAATCACTGGTGAGAGTTTTTATTAAAAGTGTTAAGACTAAGTTCTCATGCACATACAGAGTTTGGAAGCTTGCTTTTTCTCAGTATCTACTGACTGTCAGCAGCACAGATGAAAACCAGGTAATGTTTTCCCTGGAGTGTATAAAAAAAACCCCAACAAGCATTTGACCAGCAGGGAACTCTGTAAGTGTTGTGATGAGGGAGGTAATTGCAACTTGGAAATTGTCACGATCACCTGCTGTGAGAGGCTGTTTAGACAAAAGCTTGCTCGCAGAGCAGTCTCCTGGGGCCCATCACATTCACAGTCCCAAAGGCTTTAACTTGCACAGAAAGAAAAGGAAGGGAAAGAAGATGGCAAATGGAGTGTACTCAGCTTGCAGAGCATCCAAGAACACAGGGGAAAAAAGAGAAAACTCCTTAACCCCAATATGGTGCTGTTTATTTCTGACCCATCATAAACTCTCACTCCAGAGTAAGGAAAGGGGAGCAAAACAGCTGTACAAACTATAAAGAGCAAAAATATTTACCATAAAATATGGAAATGACTACATTTTCCTCTGTAACTGGTATGCTCTTACCTGGTAGTTATGGAGTTCCGGAGTATTTTTAGCACTAAGAGAGAAAAAAATTTGCTTTTATGTAATCAATACATCTACATCACAATGTTTTTTAGTTCAGGGAAGTACTACAGAGAAGTAAAATTCATATTCTTAAGGACATCATTATTTTATTCAAGATATACACCATAGCAGTTAATATGGGAAAGAGTGGTGTAAAACTTGTTTCTGTGCCTTAGATTTAAAAAACAAGAACAAATTATGCTTGATAACGTAGCATAAGTGTAGTTAGCAAAAAGGAAGTATGTTTTACTTTGGTCTGATTTCATATATAAAAATAATAAAAGAAATAGATTAAGCAATAGAAGCAGACAGACCCTAAGAAGAATCTGGTGATGCATAATGAGACATGCCAAAGCAATTCATCTCACACCAGAGAATCTGTTTCTACAGCAGAAATCCTAAAGCAGACATTGTCTTCCGAATCCTTTTAGCCTGAAAACAGCAACTGAGAGGTAGAAAAAAGTTGGGCAGTCACTTACCACAGTTGTGCTGCTTTCACAGGATTGTTTGCTTAAAAAGAAATAAACACAAAATCTTCAGACAAGTGAAATATCAGCTATTTTGCAGTTCTTGTTGGCTAAAGTGAATCCTTATACAGACATATTTGCACACAAGTGTCTGAATTTCAAGTGCACCCCTGTGCTTTCTAGTAATCCTGTGCAACATCATGAAGTATGAGGCAGACACAAATCTCCCTCTGGTCCTGCCAGAGTGAAAGCCCTTTAGAGAGATGACAGCAGACAAGCATATTCTTCCCAAATGCCACAACAGGACTTTTGGCAGAGTATGTTCTGCACAACCAGAACACTTTTTCCTCATCTTACTGGAGTACCATGCCAATACCATCAAGTCCACTGGAAATCAGAAACTACCCCTTGCAGAAATTTTCACTATCTTACAGAAACCAGAGTATTCACAAAGCTGGCAATGGCCTATGTCTTACTGCAGGGAATAATGGTAGCCAAAACAGCCCATCAGCTGGGAATCCTGGGAGGCACAGAGTAATCTTGAGGAATAAGGTCTTGGCCTCTGTTTTGGACAGGCTGGAAAGAATGGTGAAGGTGGCAGCTGAGTAACTGGGGGGTATCATCTCTTTTCCATGACTGTGTGTGTTTCAAGAGAACTGAAAAACTTCCCAGAGAGAAAGTGAACATCCAACTGACTGCTGAATGCAGGAAGTCAATGACACACTGCAGAAGTCTCAAAAGTGACAGAGCTTCCGGAGAATCCAACCCTTGTGGGTTGCATTTAGACACAGGGCTTAATGGCCAAAAGATGCATGAAAAGACAACCTACAGAGAGTTTTTGCATTAACTTAACAAACATGCTGTTGAGCTCTCTAGAAGACAATCACTTGGGTGTGAAAGAAGTTCTGATTGGCTGCAATGGACAGAGAACATAATTAAGCATAAGCCACACTTTCTCTCTTCTGCCTCTCTCTCACAGACATAAGTACAGAAGCACTGAGACTCAAGGCAAAACCCGCACGTCTGTCAGATCCTGTTATGGCAAGAATTAAATTTAAAGAATTCTTGCATTTCGGTTATACTCCTTCCATGTACTAAGGAAGGAAGCAGGGGAAAGAGTTACAGCCTCTAGAAAGCATGCACGCTTCTCACCCTTTCTCCCCCCACTGTAAATGAGACAAAAATGTCCCCATAATACCACAAGGGCTGCTCATGGAACTGTGGTTTATATTCTGGAAATGCAAACGAGCGCAAAGACATTCTAAGGGAATGTCATCTCACCCTACTGTGTACAGCAGCCTTGCTCCATACAGCAACTATACCTGCAGGCTCAAGTAATACAGAATTTGGAGAGAGTTATCCTGCAGTGCTCCTTCCTAGGAGAAACAAAAACCTCAAGCTTTTTCTACATGGAACAAAAAGCTCAAGTTTTTAAAGACAAATTACAAAACCACAAGGGAAATTAATTCCTTGTCATTCCATTTAAATTCAGCACATCTCAATTCCCCGGGCATGCTAGTTAAGGTCAGAGTCTGGACAGGTGAATAACATGTCATTACAGTCAGAAAAGCCACAACAACTGCATAATGAGACTGCCCAATAACCCTAAAATTGTCTGGCTAGATAAGCAAGTCAGTGAGGCTTTTGGACACTGCTCCACCTCACATGACACAAGCAATTCTTCAAAAAAACATTACACGCTTTGCCTTAGTGGATTTTCTGCAACTTTTCTTTCCTCCTCAATAGAGCAACAAAAGAAACCGTAGGGACCTCCTCCACAGATGGGGGTGGAAGAATTAATTGTAGATAGATATTAAAAACAGAAAAGGGAAACAACGAACTCTGGCAAAAAAGCCTCCATGCATGTTCTGATTTTCCAGGTGATCTGATGTACTCTTCTTTTTATAATGTGGTACAGATGTCATGATTGTAATGTGTCATTTATAGGATTTAATGGGACACCTGCATGACCAGCTCAGTGCACAGATATCTAGAAACACTTACCCTTGTAAGTGGAATGCCTCCTAGAGGGGTATCTCTTGCTGGGCCTTCTTTCAAACGTGCTAGTTCTGCGTAACCTCGTCCCGTGTGTCGCTTGATATTCTGTCCTCCCACTTAAAATACAGAAACAGACAAAGTAAACTGCTGCCTTCTGCTGGAAGCTGTACCTGCTCCTTTGTACAAAGATAAATATATTGCTGTTACTTCACTAGATACCTGAATCTGAAGCGTGATCCCAGCCTTATGAAGTCGGATCTACTAGATTTACTATTTGCTGGGGCTCGCAATCTGAAGAAAGCGTGGTGCTCCACCGCACATTTCCACAAATGTTTGCACGTTTTGGCACTGTCTAACCGGAAAACAAATGTGTGCTCTTGCTCTCTGCCCTAAATGCAGAAACAAAAGCTTTGGAAGTTGGCATGCATGATATTAGTTATTGTCCTTGGTAGGAGAAACACAGCCTGGGCCAACAGTGTGCTGAGCCTCCCTTGTGTTCTTACCAGCCTGAGCACACACCACACTTTGTTGGATCAGGCTCAAGTAAGGGAAAGAAGTTACCTGTTCATCATCTTCTACAACCACGAGCGTTAGTTTGCTCTTTTTAAAGTCCATTTTTGTGATTTTAGGCCTAAACACAAAAATCAAAAAGAACGGAATTAAAATAATATTAAAATAATTTTATTTCTACAACTATTTCACATTTGAGAGTGGTACTTCTAACCAGGCCAATCCACCTTGAGATTTAACCTTCAGATTTTAAACTTTGTAGATTCAATTATTAATTACAAAATACAGTCAAGATCCCATTATGCAAAGGAGAAAGATTTCAGCATTTTAACAAAAAGGAATATAACACAAAAGCAGATTACCAAAAGAATAAGCCTATTTTGTTGGCTCCTTCAAAGATCAATATGCCTGTTGGTGTCAGTCCAAGAGCATACTCACAACCATCTCTTCCCTGCAAGCAAGTACAGAATAAATAATCAATCTGCCATGAGCTGTGTACATTTTAATACAGTAGTATTGCAAAATCCATAGATCTTAAACTAAACAATAAAGTTGCCATATTTTTTTAACATTGCAGAGCAGAAGAATGTGCAGCTGTACTGGGTGCAGAGTGGTATATTTTGGCAACGGGAGGCTGCAGGGTATCCTATGTGGGAGGAGGCCGTGTGCTGCTCAAAGAGGCTCAGAGATCCATGGAGATGGACCCACACCAACAATGCATCCACGGCAGCCCACACCTCACCTCACCTGTTCAAGTTCCTGACAGGGGAAGGAGACACAACAGGAAGGAACTGAGGGACACAGGAAAAGGCATAGGAAAGGGATGCAGTGGGAGCACAGAGAAGCACCCTTGGGAGGAGTACTGCAGGTGGGAATGACTTGGGAGGGACCACGGCCCATGGGACAACCCAGACCATAATAAGGACACTCCTCAGGGACTGACCCACACCAGGGCAGGGACCTCACACTGATAAAATAAAACATCACATGGATCTTACCTTAACTACATGCATATCTACACCATACATTTCTAGCCATTTAGCTTTGTTCAAGTAGCACAACTCAGCCTGCGCCGGGCTCTTTCCCCTATGAACATAAAATTCATACTTCATAGTAAAAAATTTGTATCCACTTTAAATGCTTTCAGATTCATTCTCCTAACCCTTTTCTTTGTGTCCTCAATCTTAATGACACTAAATTTTAGCTTATGTTTTTACCATCTTCCCTCCAAATGAAAATAGAACAGAGGACTGAAAATGCAAAAAGGTCTAAAATTGCCAATAAGGATGAAAGTTCAGGTAACAAAGCATCACCGAAATGTACCATATTTATTAACAAAAGACAGGAAAATGAGTCTGCTACCACTCTGAACGCAAAATTTGTTTGAATGAAATAAGGAGAGAAAGAGAGCGAAAAAGATTTATTTCTAACATAAACAGGAAAAAGACCCATCTCCTTAAATTATTACAAAATGATCTAAAGAAAAACCATTAAACCTAAATTACTGCCTGCCATTTCTAGGGAATGAGAGGGCTCAAAGCCTTTTTACAATACTTCTCCACTGACAAACATAACCCCCACTTCTGTTGAAAGCCTGTTGAAAGGATTTGACTTTGGAAGAGAAGAAAACCTGTTGCTAGAGACCCCACTCCCACACAGGTACTCTACCTGCACTCTTTCCATTTCTGAAAAATGTCAAATTCCATTGCTTCAGTCTGGTTTGGTGCAAACCTGAATTCAGACACGAGCTCTGGTGTGTGCTCAGGGTGCTCACACTCTCCCAACTCAGCTGAAATCAATCAATTGAGAAATTAAAAATATAAAGATCTTGGGATGACCAGAAATACTCAATTCCATTATCCCTACAAAGACAAGGATAGTTTGCATGTTCCTAAGCACGTTGCAGAATGCTTTAAATTAAGATCCATCCCATCCCCCCACTCCTGGCCCCAGTAAATTCAAGCCAGATTTCACAGCAGAAGTCAGATAAATGCATTTGCAGGAGCAGAGTAAGGTTGTGGTACAGAATTCTGACATTCAACAATGTTATGACTGAACCAGCTCAACTAAAGCTGCTTCTCTGGATTTTAAAGCACTTATAGGAAATAAAATTTCTATTAAAAACAATCATCAATGCATCTTCTGTTTTAGAAGAGGTGACTTTGAAACTTCCTCTCATTGCCTACTTTTCACTCCCTAACACTTCCCATTCTATTGCATGCTTTGTTATTTGTACCAGTTCAGGACAAGTTCAGGAGTTATGTTTCTATTCATGTCAAAACATGAAGGTAATACCTAGTCTCATTAAACCAGTGATAAAGCTGTGTGGTTTTTTAAATCACAGTGGTGGTGTGATATTCAGATTAATAATTTTAAGGAAACAAATGCTGAAACATTGACATAATTAAGGTGTCACTTTCTACTTATATGCTTAGGCTCTGGTGTTTTCTTTTCTAGGAGCAGAATACTTTCCCACTCCACTGAGCTCAGCAGGAGATGCAAGTGCTGAGCATTTCAGTGACTGGCACTCTTAACTGCCTTGTGTCTGTGACAGCTTTGCTCCTGGAGCCTCTCAGCTGTACTCAGAGGCTGCAGTGTGGCTTCCTCAGGACTGTGTGGCAAGCACCAGTGGAAAATACACTCTTCAGCAATACCATGTGTCACCTGACACATGATGTGATTCCCAACCAGGCCTCTGTCAGTCAGCGCTTCTTAACTGTTTACTACTCCTACTACTACTACTACCAAAATAAAAATAAAAATGGAAAAGCATAGAGGGAAACTAAATCCCTTGAAGAAAACAGTTTTATTCCTTCAGGGTGCTTTTACACTTAACAGCTGCAAAAATTTCAGTCACAGCCAGACTTCAAAAATACTTAACAGGATCCATCAGTAGATAGGAAGTTACATTCAAAATCCAATCTGTTGGCTGATAACACCTACTAGGTGGTTTTGAGAACTTGAGCTTTGCTGAGACATTTAGCAGTCCTGAGGATATTAAAGAGATTGAGTTCATTGGTCTTCATCTTTAATTACTGTCTCACACACATTTTTTTCTCTCAACAGTTATCTTCCATAGTGAGTTACAGTATACTTATCTCTGTTAAAGAAAAGGATGTACAGATATCTCAGCTCCCTGGCTGTTTCATGAAAGCTGGAAGCCTATTTAACACAGATATTATACTGGCAGTAATTAAACTGTCCAGTCTCCAGTATAGAAGAGGGAGCCACAGAAAACACATTAGCAAGGAGGACTTCAAGGGGAGAGAAAAAGGTAAGGATCTAAAGTTTGATGTGTTGCCAACCATCTAGGAAAAACATGGGAGATTTCTCTACTATTTAACTGAGAGAGGAGGTGGGGAGCAAAGGCTGACTGTGCTGTAAGGAGGATGTGTAGGGATGAGAAGAATCATGAGCTTGTAGGACAGAAGACACACAGAGAGGCTCAGCAGCACTCATATTTTGAAATGCAAGGACACAGCAGAAGACCCATCTCTTAATTTTTGTCTTCATTACATGCTTTGGCATGCCTCTTCTTGGTCCTTTTTTGAGGGGGGGTGTGAAAGGTGGGGCAGGTGTATAACACAAGCATATACATTATCTGTGTTCTTCAAAAAATAACCTGTGGGACATTTTCAAAAGGATATTTCCTAGAAAGTTTTTGAAAACTCCAAAAATATATTTATTTTTAAATATATAGCTGATTCTTCTATACAGAGAGAAAAAAGTTTGCAGTATTCCATGAGGATGTCTTATGATTAGAACTGAAAATCTGTCATGTGAGAAAATGTTTTCCTTTTTAATTTAATTAGCAGCTTCAAAAGTGTATCTGGTAAAATACTAAGAGAATACAACACTAATGATGCAGTTAAAAACTAAGTGTAACAGTGAGAACTCAAGTTTGATGACAGTATTTCCACAGATAAACCCTAAGTGAAGAATAATATTACCTATCTGCTTTGTATGTTACCCCATACTACAAACCAACGTTACTTGCTACAGAATTTCCTTCAAGGGACTGGCAACAAATCAACAATTTATGCTTGAAAGATGATTCACAAAAAAAAACCCAAAAAAACAAACCCTTGGAAATTGCTATTGGAAACCAAGAATTACTTGAACAGAAAACTCCCTTGATAAAAAAGAGACATGTATGAAATTTAAAGCTTATCTGTGAAAAGACTTTTCTTTCAGAGGGCTCAGACTACCAATGCCTAAATAGCAATTCATAGCTTTTCCCTCACTCTTAGGAAAAGCACACTAAGGAGCAAGACTGCATTTTACAAAGAAAATGTAACCCACTGAGGAGGGAATAATCAAAATTTCTTTATACTTTTCTGCTTAATTATGTTTCCAATGTCAATAAAATGTAGCAAACTTGACATCAAAAATACTTATTATTATGTATGCCAGCACAGAGAATGAATGAGTTGCAATAATGAAATAATTTTGGACAAGCTTATTGCAATCATATCAAAATAGTGGAAAACTGAAACTGAAAAAAAAAAAGCAAAAAAGTATAAAACAATGTTCCCACAGACAGCAAGGGTATTAGTTTTGGTAGATAGCTGGACAAATCATAAACATGATGGACATAAACATGATGTATTGCATTTACACAGTAATCACAGGTGTCAGCTGCTACCCAAAATTTTGAGGCATTAACCTATTATTGTTTGCTTGGACCAGATGTGAGGCTACTGGAGTTTTTATCTGTGGAAACATAAGCAACAAATCAAATTTGGGCTCCACATTTCCTTCACCTCAAAGAGACAAAAGGAGTCTGCCTGCAGCAGCTCTCTGCACATCTGCCAATCCCAGTTGTGCCAACTGCTGCAGTAAAACAATCCACTGCCTTAAGATTTACACCTGTTGCTGCTTGGAACTGAATTCCCAGTTTTGCCTGTCAAGTTCATCCAGAACCACTGAGTTACTTCCACTGCTGTATTAAACTAAGCAACTCTGCCCAAGCTCTCTGTGTGCCATGGCCCAATCACCAGTGAAACAGGAAGGGAATTTTTCATTTCAATTAATGTTGCTGCTGATTTGCTTAGAATGGTCCAGCTCACTGCACTTTCTTTTAGAAAAAAATGAACTTGATTTAAGCTTCATTACAAAAATTTCCTCCCCATCTGCAAAACAAATTGCTTGAAATGGAACAAATATTTGTATTAACATGCTTGCAGCAACAAAAAACCACACTGTCCTACAATGACATAATGAAACCCAGTATACTGGAATTGCTTTTACATAGTGAAATCCTTGCTCCTGCCACTAAGAAGTGATCTTAGTTCTTACCCTCCCATGTAATTCTCTCCTCTCCTGTACCTGCCACTTCCTCCCTCCTGCCCTGTAACCATCTCTTGAGTCACCCACTGTGGAGGCTTCTTCTCCCAGGCACAGTTCAGGCAGCAGGAAGCCCAAATTCACAGGCACCCACCTCCCACAAACAGTGTGAAGGGCCAGCAGGCTCTTCAGCCTCAAGTGGTAACACTTGAGCATGCACCACAGCTTCTCCCTCAGCAGGGAGCTATTTTGGGTTCTTCTTCCCTGATCAGCCCTGGGTTTCCATGAAACTTTTGTCCAGCCATGCTTTAAAGTCTCCCTCCCCATACCAGGTGTGCTGATATTGGCTAATGTAATGAATGGAGGCAAGTCAAGAAAGTCATCTCCCTAAAATTCTCCTCCTTGGGTAAAAGAATGGCATTTCTATATGATCAGTAAGAATGCATTAGTAACAAAAGAAAAGAAACCAGTAAATGAGTTTTTCAATAAATTAGGACAAACCACTTTCAAAAGATTGCATACCTTGAAGACACAGAGCTGCTAGTTCAACAGCAGTTTCATATGGGCATTTCAGTCTAAAAAACAAAACAAAAACCAGAACTATAAAAATCACATCTCTTGTCAGTGAATTCCTCTTGCAATTAAACTAAAAAGAAGCCTGATACAAAAACTGGAAACATTAACTTCCACAAACTACTCATGCTATGAAACATCTACAATTAATTGTTACTTGTAAATCATTATTTCCTAAGTTGGTACATTCTGATTAGCATTAAATATGATACACTTCACTATAAATCAAGATTGAACTAACAGAGAAAACACTAAATCAACTAAGGAACCATTTTTGCTTTAACACTGTATTTTAGAATATACGACTTTGAAGTTTTTTATTTCTGTAATTAAAAAAAAATAGTGCAAGTGTGAATGAATATTGGTCACAGTAAGAGTATAAAAACATAAAGTATTTTTTCAGAGTTGACCTGAACAAAAAGTGTTGCACTTCGACTTTCTCATCCTCTATTTCACCCACCATACTGAAATTATGTGGCAAGCCCATGTTACATTTTCAAGTCATAACACCCAGGACAGTCTTCACTCTCTTTAAACATTTCCATCACCTCATCAATCGATCAAAATCTTTACCCATTCTGTTTGTCAGTAATATAGTCATGATACACACAAAGTCCTATATGTCTGTATTCTAAAGAAAAAAAAAATGCACTAGGAGATTAACTATTATACATTCTTTAAATTACAGCTGCAAGTGTAAAAAGGTACTTACTTCCCTGAAAGAATGTCTTGCCGGAGCTGTAATACAAACAGGTACCTGACAAATAAAAAATTCAGAAAGTCAAAAGTAATTACAGTGGCATCCTTCTAGTTCCACTGGCTGGAAGAATATTCCAATTCATTGAGTAGAAACAGCAATTTGAGTAACTTGCTCTTTACAAAAAAAGGGCCTTTGGGATCACACAGATACACCCTGTAAGCTTCAAAGTTCCCATGGCTTCCACTAAAATCAAAGAGAAGATTTTTTGTCCACTGGTTGTGTTCAAGACATTGCCCAAAGTCTTGCTAATGTTTAGGATGTGCTCTATCTGAGCATACACCACAGCAACCTAAATGTTATTAACACTGCAGTGTTCTCCTAAACCTGGGTCTCACCTAATTCAGGCAGGAATCGAACTACAGTATCTAGAAACAAACCACAGATAAAGGCATATGGGCTTCAGGGCTGCCTTCTCAAACACAAATACAGAACATGGAGAAAGTCCAAATTGGGCAAAAGGAAAGTTTCATACCAAAATGTCACTTTAAAATAGCAGAGTTCTGAATAAAAGAATTCTGTAGACCTCACACATTTATTTAATATGCCAAGTAGGAATTTACAGCCTTCACACTGTTGTAGTATTTTAAGCTGTTGCTTTGCTAATCTTCAGTTGTAGGCATGCTTCACTGACACCACTCAGAGCTGGGCTCTGAGGCATGCACAAGTGCCCTGGGTCATGCAAGGGGTGTGTGGAGGACAGGAAGGCAGAGGCAGGCTCTGCACTGCTCTGGACACTGTGGGGTGAGGCTTGCAAAGATGAGTGACTCAAGAGAAGAAAGCATGAAGCACTCCTGAGATCCCAGTAAACGCAAACACAGACCTCTCTTGTCTTTACAAAGAATGCTAGAAAGACAAAGTGGGGTTTTTTCATCACAGAGAATGTGGAGTGAATGTGGTGAAGGACAAACAGTTGAAACCAGAAAGGGAAAACAGAAATGAAAAGGAAGATTGAAATTTCTCATGATAACACTAGAGCAGAATCAGATTTATCCACGTTAGCTCTTTGATACATCTCGGATTCACATACTTGGCTAATACCTGACTGCCAATCAAATCTGGGTATTTGCATGTGTAGATTAAGGGTAGACAAGTATACATCCAGTTCTTATTGATAGTCTGGATCATGCACAATCCCATGAACTCTTCTAAACTTGCAAGAAGACTCTGGGCAGTTCACCTATCAGTTTCAGGGGGCTTGTGCAGTGCTGCAGCCCCATTCTGATGGGTATGGCTTATCCTTCTTCCTTTTCTGTGCACAGGCTGGCAAACACTGGCATCTCAATTGTTGTTACTCCAAATCAGCAAGATAACTTAGAAAATTCTCCACAACACAAAGTACAGATATGTTCCTCTGTTGTTCTTCTAACTAAACTAACTAATTAAGTCTCACAAAAGAAGATTTTGGAAGATGTCTTCCAAAATGCACTGTATTTCAACTGTGTTTTTAAACAAAAAAAAGACTGAGCAGTTTTAATGCTTACCAATATTGTGTTAATTATGAGAATATGATGTTTTTAGCTCCACTAGAAATTGAAGTCTAATAGAAAGCAGATCCCCAGAAGGAATTTTGAACACCCCCCACCTGAAAAGTTCACAGTTACTGTTAAGGATAATTGCTACATGGAAAATATGATCCAACTAGCATAAAGACTCTTAAAAAAACCTCCAATAATTGAAAGAATTAAAAATTTAAGAACTATAAAATTCTTAAATTCAAAATTACTTTCCCCAACCAAAAAAAAAAAAAAAAAAGGCAAAAAAAAAGGCGCCCCAATTTTTCTTACACAGTTTCACAGTGGTCTTCTGTCAGGCTTAATTAAAAGAAATTGTTCACAACACTGAATATTTAGCTGACTAAAGTGTTTTTCTAATTAAAATAGTCTTCTGAAATGTCACCTTTCAGCAATAATTAGATCACAAGGCATCAGAGGGTAATACTTTCAGACAAAATGTCTTACTTGATCACAGCAATGATCACATAGCTCAGAAACCCAATCTCACAGTGACTAGGATCATATGCTTCAGAGCACATAAGAAAGAAATCTTGTGGTAGACAGTAATGCCATAATTTGACCACAGGGGAAATGTAATACTTGTCAGACATGCACCCTGATATATGAAGACTTACGTCAATTTCCAGAAAACATATATTATTCCTACTAATTTAACTGCATTTTCTCATTAGAGATGTCCATAAATCATCCAGATTTTTGGCTTCTCTTAATATTTTATACTTAGCTACATAAGTGGCAGGGATTTCTATAAGTTAATCATACATTCTATAGGAATATGCCCTTTTATTGAATTATCACTGCTGGACTAAATTGATAACCGATATTGAAGACCGTATGTCTCTATCATGAGGTGGTGACAATTAGCCCTTTAATCTTGTCTCAGGCAGTGAAAAAACCCATGGTGGGCACAGCAGACAGCAGGGAGACAGTAATCATCTGCCTGCAGGCACAAGTTTAGTGTAAACATCACATGCACACGAACTACAACAATCAACCATCTTTAAACACCTTAGGCTGATTAGGAGTACACTGATTATTGCCAAGCAAATTAGAAGACACAGAAATTGCCCTACGGTGAGAGGCAGAACAAAAGAAAAGATAAAGTAACATTAAGACAGATGAATACTATACAGGGAAGACACAAAGTAAGCAGATACAAAAGATAAGTAAACCCCAGCTGGTCCTTTCCCAGCTTTCAGAATATCCTCTAAACCAAGGTGCTATGGATCCAGCAAGGTACAGGTCCACAGAAAGAGCCCAGCAGATTGAAAATAAAGACTTCCAGATATTTGTAGAGTGACTCTATACAATGCAGGCTTTTTCTTCAGAGTACCACAGGGAAGCAGAAGTGATTCAATCAACTCTCACCCCGGAGCTCAAGCTGGCTATTCCCACAATTCTCTACCCTTGGTACCACTATTAAATCACGCCCAAGTCTCAGGGCAGGAGGAACAAAGCAGGGCACTGGCATTTTAGCAGGACATGATGGAAACCCCTCTCAGAGGATGGCAGCTATCAAGAGCAGGTGTCTCCCAGCTGCAGCTTTCCCCACCCAACTCTGCCCTTCTTTGCCAACTTCAAAGCACCAGAACGCAGCATCTCCAACACACAAACATGCTTGGAGAGGCCCATGGATGCTTTCTGGCAGCAAATAAAAAACAAAATGTTTCTCTGACTGTAGGAAAACACCTAAGGAGGCAGACAAAATGAGCATCCTTAATAAGAAAGCTCAAATCACCTGCTTGCAGTACCCCCACGTGCCTGAGGTGTCTCAAATCCCCCATCGGCCACGCGCAGTTCCTACCTTGTGAACTCTTCGTGAAGGTTGTTGGGCTCTGACGAGTAGTACTTAATGCGAAAATGCAGCGTGTACGGAGGTCCAACTGCACATGCAGAGATTTTTGGGGGAAAAAAGGTTTATAGTCATTGTAGTCCTGCTGAGGCAGAACAGTCGCCACACCACCCCACAACCCAAGAGACCCAAAATTAATTACATTTTCAGGTTCGTCAAAGAAAATATTTCATGGGTTTTTTTAATTTAAAAATGCATGCAGTAAACAAAAAATAGAGATAATTACCATAATTTTTGATACTCATTAATTCAAGTTTGTCAAGGCAATAGTCCATTTGTCAAACACATTTTTTGTCCAAAGAGGGGTGCCTCACAGCATTTGTGAATGACAGCAATTTCCAGGTACACTCCCTGTTGCTGGGCCCAGGGGGAATTGGAAGGAAGAGGCAAGGAGGGGGTGATGCTCCTTCTTACCAGGCACAAACACTACTCCAAAAAAAACCCCTACCCAATAGATCAGCTTTCAACTGAAACACATTAATTTGAAAAGGTAAGATAAATAGACTGAAAAGTTCTGGAGAAGACTCTAGAAGGCACCCATGAATACAGGAAGCTAAAAAAATTCCATGGGGTTGCAAGAACTGTGTTTCCTGAAATCAGAAGGTGAATGTTACATTGGACTTCCCATGTAACACAGACAACAGGAAGTTATCCAGCTACCATGGAACCCTGACCAATGCATCCTTATCTGCCTAACCCTCATCTGCTGACCAGCTGCCTGCTGATGTATTAACTGATGGAAAAATTACTTTTCCTCGCTTTTCTGAGGTCTTCTGTAACACCACATCAACAAGCAAACACGTTCCTATTAATGATCCTTCCAGTAAGTTATATGCAGCTAATTAGAGCGTTGATTCTGTCTCCCTTACAGCTCCTGTAAGTCAGGTTATAGCACCCTGAGCTCACAGCTCGGCACCACTGCTGAGGTCTGCAAAGGTGAGATAATGACTTGGAAAAGACAGCGGTGAGCAACATCCATCATGAAGGAGAAACTCTTCACAAAGCATCTGCTAAACTCAAGGTAATGGAAAGTAACCTGTTGTGAGACAGACCTTTACAACACCCAATAAATTGCTTCCCTCTTCAGCATTCCTCAGAGCCATGATTTGCTGAATTCTTTTTAAAACAAGCTCTTTACACATTAAAAACAGACAAAAAAAAATGCAACTAAATTGGCTGAAGGTCTTACAGAATTCACTGATTTTCCAGGACAAGGCTATTAGAGAAAGTGCAGCTGCAAATCAGCTAGTCACCTAAGGTAAAGCAGTCTGTTATGTGATGAAAAGGGGAGAGAAAACTAAACAGCAAAAACCTTACCCATAGCAGCTATCTTCACCATGGATTCTAGCAGGCTGACACCCACACACCATGGAGTGACAGCAAACTACCCTAAAGGCCTCTGAAGAACTCCACTGTTTACAAAAATCATCTAGATACTTGGGTACTCATCAAAAAAAAAAAACAACAAAAGGCAAAGCACCACTCAAACAATCAACACCTGGCTGTGTGAGGTCCTCCAAGGTGGGTCAACAATTTTCTTGAAAAACACATTTTAATCTCAGAGAAGCATGGCCCATGACTGTTGCCAACTGCAGTATTGTAACAAAACACATGTTAATGCCAATGCTGTACTGTACCCAAGCCTGCAACCAGATTATCAAAAATCCAGGAGCTACTTCCCCTCCTTAGACAATTTTCACAGAAAATACAGTCCACCAACCCCTCCATCCAAAACTACCTTTGATGAAACAGCAGCTATTTCAAAACTACATTTGACAAAACAGCAGGTATTTCTGCTAGTTAAACTCCTAAAATAATAATCTGGAAAAAAATTTAAAAATTAATCATTACGCAATGAATTATTTTCCATTCACTCTCTGAAAGAAATTGCAAGATATCTGTTCTGGATCAGAAGCAGTAACAGGAACGGCGATCTGTGTCCAGGCAACCCAATTTCACAGATCAGACTGAAATTACCTGGCAACCTATTCTGCCTTAGACAAACAGCACAGGTTTAACAAGGGCTTCTGAAGGCCTGGCTACTGCTTAGTAAGTGCTCTTGCCTTTAGACACAATACAGTCAGCCAATTACCCATTAAATTAAAACTATTTTCTAAGGAATATTTATTCCATTAAAGGCCATATTTAAACATTCTCTATCATGTTCTAATACACTAAATTCAAATTCTTTAGGAAGTAACAAAATAAACAGGCAGAGACACAGTACTTACTTTTTATTTGCTTCTTAATGAATTTTGAATGGTCCAACCAGTGCTAAAAAAAGAAAATCCACACTTAGAAGCAGTTCCATTTCAAGATTTTGTTGACTCCATAAACTAATTACAATAAAATTTAACAGATAAAAATCTCTTATAAGGAAATAGTGCCATATTTATTTTCTAAACTTCTCATATTGGTGAAAGTATTTATTGGCATGTTTAACAACTTCCCTTCTTCCACATGGGAAAGCTTGATTTTTAAATTCATTAGTACTGCCAGGGAAGCCACTCTTCCAGAGAAGAAACTTCAAAATGCAAGGCCACAAAGCAGTGGTGTGTAAGGAAAGCACCCTTTTGCCCCAAACCCCTGAGTTTCAGCCTCCTTTAAACCTCTGTTTGATGGAGACCCTCCAGAGCCTGTACTATCCTGCCTTCCACTGCCCCATAGCCAAGTTTTTTCATGGTAAGGATGGAGACTTAACCCCATTAAAAGCATTTGGGAAACACTGATGTATATCCCACCCCTTCCTTTTTAAGCTAAGGCAGAAGATCTGGAATAGTTCAACAATGATGACAAAAACATCTGATTCCCAGACAAATGTATGCACTCTCTTGTCAGTATAAGTTGCATCTACAGAAAGGCAGCAAGAAACACAATCTGGTGTAAATTTAGCTTAAATCTTTGACAGTCTCTGCTCAATGTCCTACAGAAGGCTGCAATCTTGTTTGAAGCAACTCCATGTAAATGCTTCTGTCACACATAGTGGTAAGAGAGTTTTGGATTTCTTTGAAATAAGTGGTTTTCTATCTTTAAATATATTTTAAAATTATGAACTAGGTACTATGAAACAAAATCTTAGGAGAAAACCCTCTTCCTTCTTTCTTATTAAAGCATTAATGTTTTCAGAAAAAGGATAATCTCTCAATGACTACTTATTGTTACACCACCACCATGCTCTGTGGCTGAATAGATGTCCAGAATTATTTGTTGTCAAGTCAGTAAATAAATACCAGTATTACTATGTTCTAAACCAATGTAAAAATCTATCACAGGTATAGATGTGTACAGATCAAAAGTCTGACAGCTTATGACCCTTAAGGTAAATAAATCTCCCAAGAGGGAGAAAGAAAAATGGAACAATGATTCTTAAGGTGATTTTATTTGCAGGAGACTTGCAAGACTCCCTTACATGAGGCTACCAAGAAATCAATTCTTATAATCCTAATCTGGTAGAAATCTCTACCAGAATGGAAATAAAACATTACAGCAGCTCATATAAATACAATCCTTAGAGTAACAAGTAATTTACTTTGTCTCTATTTTGCTCTCTTGTGAAAAATTACAGCCTTGTGAAATCTCCAATTTTTGATAAGGAAAGAAATATCAACATTGAAACTTTGCTTTTTTTTAAACTGAAATTATATAAGATAGTTACTTTCACAGCTCCAGGGCAGATAAATTTTTCATTCTTCAAACACCTAGCTGTGAAAATGTCTTTCTATTTAATATTTATTTTGGCTAAAGAAAAGTCCCTCAAAGACAAATATAATTAATGCATTAAAAGAAAAGTTTTTCATGTAGAAAAACATCTATAATACATGCTGAAAACTTCTGTTAGTACCATGTTCTGGAACAAGCACTGCACAACCTGAACTATAATAATTCCCAGTTAAAAAACAGCTGATAGTCCCTTTTCTTGGCATGTGGTCTTTAAGGTACATTAAAGCTCAAATAAGAGTAACTTTCAAACTGATTATTTGCAAGTGCAAATACTTCAAGTAATGGCTTACAAAAATACCTAACAAGACTCCAGGAACTGCTTGTGCAGACCATTAAGTGAGACCACAGCTCAGACAGGAGCTATCATCACTCTCTGTACCTAAGCAGCCAGAGGCAGGCGGCTCCAGGAGATAAAGCACAGCAAGCATTAAAGTCACCTCTCTTCAGAAGCAACAGTGAGCTGCTGTTTCACCCCCATCCTGCACTGCACATCAAGTGTGTGATGTGCCTCCACATGGACCATAAACACAAAGACAGATGCAGGGCATGGACTGACAGCATTATTGGCGCAGAGCTCCAAGGCCTGGAAGCTTTCATGCAGATTTATGAACCAACTCCAATTTCAGAGTCAGATATTTTGTGCAATTTCTGTGAAAATCAGGCTGAATTTTAACACTTCTTTGCCTCAGATAATGTCAGAGGGCTTCTTCACACTGTGTACCACACCAGCCTTCCAAATGTCCCTCTGAGCTGAAAAAAAAAATCAAAGCATTCTAGCTAAAGCCTAAAATAGGTTTGGGCTTGGCTACATACTGCTTGCTGACTCAATTACAGGGAAGTGAAAGCAATGAATTCTGAAGTCTCACTAGGAAGCTGAATAAAACCAGAGGAGCCTTGCTCTTCCCTCAGCATCTAAGACTGTATCTCTGCCTATCTTGTGCTCTGGCTAAATGACCATACCATAATTTCAGGATCTGGACTCCCCAAAGAAACTTAACTATGGATCTCACAGTGTAGGACCAGGACTGACCAGACTCATTTCAACCATACCCCACCATAATCCCCGTATCCTGTTCAGACTTGGAAGTATCAGTGCAGAACATGGAGGAGGAAAGGGATTAATTGCTTTAGGACTGTGTTATGATAGGAAGATAGTGTCTAAGCTATTTTACCCATAGTAAGGGAAGAAAAATCCAAACCTGATCAAACTGCAGGTAATCAGAATTCTATGACTATGCTAGAACAGAACAAGTAGTTCATCTGGAAGGGACCTACAATGACCACCTAGTCCCACTGCCTGACCACTTCAGGTTAAGTGCATTGTCCCAACATCTCTTAAGACTGACAGGCTTGGGACATCAATTACCTCTCTAGGAAGTCTGTTCCAGTGTTTCACAACCCTCTTGGTAAAGAAATGCTTCCCAATGTCCAGTCTGAACCTCCTATGATCCAGCTTTGAACCATTCCCATGCATCCTTTCTAGGGATACCAGGGAGGAGAGCTCATCACCCCCCTCTCCACTTCCCATCATCAGGTCCAGAGACCACTGTAGTCCCTCCTTTAATTTTGTCAGGTAAACTGGAAGGTCAAATGCTAGACTAACTCCCATTTATTCCTCTTTAATCTCAGCAAAATTTCATTGCTCTATGAAATGAAAAATGCTTTCTATGGTATTAACTGACATAACACAGTAGCCATTGACTGGGATTCATGTCTTGAAAACAAACAGCAATGAATTCCACATGAAAGAAGCACCATTTAAAAAATATAATTTCTCAAAATACTGGAAGCATGTATGTATCTCATCATGGTCTCCTGCTGATCACTCACTTCATCCAAGTGAAGTGGAAAAAAATAAGTAGCTCAGCATTTCCTAATGGTAGTAGCCAGTATTTTCTCAAAATAGATATACAGCATGGGAAGGATATATTTGTGTCAAGATACAGCAGATAAACTACAGCTGCTGAAGCAGTCAGCTTATAAGGACCATATGAGTGCCAAATGAAGACCGAAAGGAGGATTTCCATAGCCTGACACAATCCCACAATCACACACCTGAGCTTGTGAATTCCACCACCTCTCTACTTGCTTCCTAAAAGAATGAAAATTCCTTGTCTTGATTTATACAGCCCTCAAAGGTGACCTGAAAAGGAAAAAAAATTGCATTTGACCCTTTTTGACTGGCTTTCTTTGCTAGTTTAAAATGCATGAAGAATATCTTGAATAGACTGTTCTCCCTTATGTTTATTTATATATTTAACTATCAGTAAGAGGAAGCCCATTTTTACTGATAGTTTTATTTGTCCTCTGAAAAATATTGGTTGAAAGCTTTCTCAAGTCATGCCTGGAGGTACAAGAGGGAGAATCATGCTCAGTGATCAAGTTCAGAAAAGAAGGTGTGCTAAACAAAAGCTGGCACCTTTAAAACCAAAAGTCAATTATCTCTTCAGCTGTCTTCTTGCTTTCTGGTTTCCTAGGCACCTGAATCCCACCAAGTTGCCTGACATTACTCACACAACCTTCTAAAGCAGAGAAGTTAAAAATGTATGTATCACATGGAGGAAGGAAACACCAAAAAATCAAGCCAATAAAAATTCTTCCCACCAAACCACAGTTTGGGGATTTCTCTACATTTACAGATTGAAAAGGGAGCAAAGGAGCAAAAGTCCTCTTTTCTTTTGCAGGTCACCTTTCAACATTATTGTGATAGTAACAGAATACCAAATGAGAACTGGGGTTATGTAGAAACTCAGGGAGTACACAAACATACACTTAGAAACAGGATAATCTCCCAAGAGTTCACAATGTAAAACAATGAGCTATTGTTCCCGTGTTTCTCTAATCCTCCTACAAAGTTATGCTCCTCTTGAAAAGGAAGGCTCGCCTGACTGCTGACTCCAGCTGCTCACTGAAAGGCTGTAGAGAAGATGACTGACACCTCTCAGAGGTATTCCATGGCAGAAGGATGAGTAGCACCAGACTCAGGAGAAATCCCAGCTGGACCGGAAGACTGTCACCATGAGGCTGTTCAGACAAAGCACAGGTGCACAGAGGGACTGTGGAGCCACTGTCCTTGAGGGTATCCAACCTGACTGAACAAAGCCCCAGGAAACCAGACACAACTGAAGCTGCTATGAGGAGCTTGGACAGAGACAACCCTTTCAACAGACAAGACCTGCGGGCATTTTTCAGGATGCTGCTCTACAATCTCACCTACTCAACTTGAAAGAAAGAAAGAAAAAAGGGAATGCACTTCTACTCAAATACCATTCACATTATAAAGCCAAGCTGGGATTAAAGAGGTGAAAAATTTGCATTTGGGCTCAGATGAGACCAACTTTTCACAAAATAATGGCAGGATCTTAGAGGGGTTTTAGTCCCAGCTGGCCAGTTTTGATTTAGACCCCCTTTGAACACTGCTGTCAGCATCTTGTTGAACAGGGCCCTGGCACAGTGGAACAGAACCACATCAACACCGCTGGAGGTGCTCCAGGTGCAAAGTTTTATCAGGTTTCTAAGTTGTCCCTGGCCTGAACAAGGCAGACCAGTTGCCC